CACATACTATTCTTTAATATTTAAGCATCCCAGAGTGATAAAATGTATATACAGTTCACTCATTACTTACCTTAAAATATTTGTAGTCTTAATGTAGGGTCAGGGGTGAGTAAACGAGACAAAACAAATAAATGAAGAGAGAGAGAGAGAGAGAGAATCAGTGCATGAGGGAGAACAGGCGCCGAGTTATGTAAACAAACCAGGCAAAGGTACGTTTTGTAAACAACAAAGTGTACACATCTGGTTTGTGTACAAGTTACATTGTGTACAAGTTGTCTCTACATTGATACGGTAAAATAAATAAAGAAGAACACTCCCATTCTCATGTAACATCATTTTGAGAAGAAATGACGCTCTGAGTGAAGGCAATGGAAATAAGTCACTCTGACTTTTTTGGGTTATCCTGGGTTCTCTACACATATGCTGTTATGTATGATCAAATCAAATCAAAGCTTATTCTCTATAAGGATTACAATGCGGGATTTACAGCTTTTGGTTATTGTGTGGTTTACATGTAATAAAATACTAATTACAGAGGGGGCCACTAGAACACCCAGCATGGCTAGGCTTTTCGGGCAAACTTAGATTAATTCTTAACCCTAAATTATTACAAATTGTGGAGTAAGTTGACTAAATACTAAGTGACTAAATACTAGTTTGTGAGTTTAGCAATGTGAATGCTTTTGTTTTGGCACAATACATAATCTATGTAACTGTATTTGTGTATACCTGCATAAACTTACATACATACGAAAAGAATAATTTTCTACAGTTACCCCCAGTTACACATTTTCTCTTATGTTAGATTACCTGGAGTTTACCTGGAGAGAGTTCCGGGGGTCAACGCCCCTGCGGCCCGGTCTGTGACCAGGCCTCCTGGTGGATCAGAGCCTGATCAACCAGGCTGTTACTGCTGGCTGCACGCAAACCAACGTATGAGCCACAGCCCGGCTGATCAGGAACCGACTTTAGGTGCTTGTCCAGTGCCAGCTTGAAGACTGCCAGGGGTCTGTTGGTAATCCCCCTTATGTATGCTGGGAGGCAGCTGAACAGTCTCGGGCCCCTGACACTTATTGTATGGTCTCTTAACGTGCTAGTGACACCCCTGCTTTTCATTGGGGGGATGCTGCATCGTCTGCCAAGTCTTTTGCTTTCGTAGTGAGTGATTTTCGTGTGCAAGTTTGGTACTAGTCCCTCTAGGATTTTCCAGGTGTATATAATCATGTATCTCTCCCGCCTGCATTCCAGGGAATACAGGTTCAGGAACCTGTTATTCTTGCCATCACTTGTACAAGTTATCTGGCTACCACATCTCATATTTATGTTTATTTATTCTATTGTGGGGTGTATTTATCATCTTTATATGTTATGTATCGTGTTTATTACATAATTTTGAAAAAAATATCATGGATGGATTAATGAAAATGAGTATATTAACGTAATATATGACATTTAATGAGACTCGGTGATTATTATTATTATCATTTCTAATATGGCGTCACTTGTGCAAGTCATCTGCTACCACATCTCATATTTATGTTTATTTATTCTACTGTGGGGTGTATTTATCATATTTATATGTTATGCATCGTGTTTATTATATAATTTTGAAAATATAGATGGATTAATGAAAATGTGTATATTAACGTAATATACGACATTTAAATGAGACTCGGTGATTATTATTATCATTACTAATATGACGTCTCAAGATATAAAACACACTTACTGATTTTAATGTGTACCTGCATGCCAGAACAGTATGTAAGTTTATTTAGGTACAGGTATACATAAGTATAATTATCAGAGTACATGTACGTATATATAAAATATGAAATAACTTTTAAAAACACTTGAAATTTTGCAGTTTCCAGACAAAATGGAGAGACTTAGTGCTTACCGATCTCACAGAGAATTTAAACAAACAGGGTGGGGCGCGGTGACCGTATTAGAAAGTCAGGTGGGGGGAGTCGTATAGCGAGTTTTGGTCATAATTTGAAATGACTGTACAGTGGACCCCCGCATAACGATATTATTTCAATCCAGAAGTCTGTTTGGGTGCCGTTATAGACCGAATTTGTTCCCATAAGACATATTGTGAATTAGATTAGTCCGTTTCAGACCCCCAAAAATACACCTACAAAAGCACTTACAAAAATACACTTACATAATTGGTCGAGTTGGGAGCTGATCGTTATGCGGGGGTCCACTGTATTTGCGGAACGCCGTAAAGCAAGGCCCTACTGTATTTTCTTCTGGGGGATTTTCTTTCTTTTTTGGGTCACCCTGCCTCAGTGGGAGACAGCCGACTTGTTGAAAAAAATAAATAAATAAATAAATAGTGAAATAGCTAAGAATTTCGTCGACTGGAATAATGTAATTGGCCTAAAATGGGAGTCAAAGTCGGCAAAATCGTCGATATATAAACATCGCTGACACATCAAAATTCACGAGAGCATAATTTCGTCAATTTTCCATCAAATTTTGTACTTTTTGTTTTATTACCTTCAGAAAATGATTCAGAAAATAAAATCATTTTTTGAAAATTCTTGGACCCTGGTGCACACTTTGACATTTGGCCTCTGGACCCTGAAAGGGTTAAATCTGCCCCATACATCTTCGACCCCATTGCCTATACTCTCACTAGCCCATCTATCCTCCAATAGTTGTCTATATCTTACCCTAACTGCCTCCTCTTTAAGTTTATAAACCTTCACCTCTCCCTTACTTGCTGCTTCTATTTTCCTTGTATCTAATCTACCTTTTACTCTGACTGTAGCTACAACTAAGAAGTGATCTGATATATCTATGCCCCCTCTATAAACATGTACATCCTGAAGTCTACTCCACAGTCTTTTAACTACCAATACATAGTCCAACAAACTACTGTCATTATGCCCTACATCATATCTTGTATACTTATTTATCCTCTTTTTCTTAAAATATGTATCTCCTATATCTAAACCCCTTTCTATACAAAGTTCAATCAAAGGGCTCCCATTATCATTTACACCTGTCACCCCAAATTTACCTACCACACCCTCTCTAAATGTTTCTGCTACTTTAGCATTTCGGTCCCCTACCACAATTACTCTCTCACTTGGGTCAAAGGTTCCTATACATTCACTTAACATCTCCCAAAATTTCTCTATCTCCTCTACACTCCTCTCTTCCCCAGGTGCATACACACTTATTATGTCCCACTTTTCACATGCGACCCTTATTTTAATCCACATAATCCTTGAATTTACACATTTACATTCCCTTTTCTCCTTCCATAACTTATCTTTCAACATTACTGCTACCCCCTTCCTTAGCTCTAACTCTCTCAGATATTCCTGACTTAATCCCATTTATTTCTCCCCACCAAAACTCCCTTACCCCCTTCAGCTTTGTTTTGCTTAGGGCCAGGACATCCAACTTCTTTTCATTCATAACATCAGCAATCATCTCTTTCATGTCATCTGCACTACATCTATGCACATTCAAGCATCCCAGTTGCCCCTCTATAAACATGTACAACCTTTCATCCACCATTCTACTTTCATTACATGCTATATCATACCTTGTTAACTTATTTATCCTCTTTTTCATAAAACATTTATTACTTATTACCAAACCTCTTTTTATGCATAGCTCAATTAAAGGCTCCCCATTTTCATTTACCCCTGACATCCCAAATTTACCTACTACTCCCTCCACAATATTTTTACCCACTTTAGCATTGAAATCCCCAACCACAAGTATTCTCACACTTGGTTCAAAACTCCCCATGCACTCGCTCAACATTTCCCAAAATCTCTCTCTCTCCTCTACACTTCTCTCTTCTCCAGGTGCATAAACACTTACTATAACCCACTTTTCACATCCAACCCTTATTTTACTCTACATAATCCTTGAATTTATACATTCATATTCCCTCTTTTCCTGCCATAACTTATCCTTCAACATTATTGCTACTCCTCCTTTAGCTCTATTTGAAACCCCTAGCCTAATCCTATTTCTTTCTCCCAGCTGAAACTCCCACCTCCTTCAGCTTTATTTCACTTAATGCCAGGACATCCAGCTTCTTCTCATTCATAACATCCACAATCATCTCTTTCTTATCATTCGCACAACATCCACGCACATTCAAACATCCCACTTTGACGGCTTTCTTTTTTAGTAAGCTATACGGGAAAAGGGGTTACTAGGCCATTGTCCCCGGCATTTTAGCTGACTTTTACAACACACATGGCTTACTGAGGAAAGATTCTTATTCCACTTCCCCATGGATATACAAGGAAAAGCAATAAGAACAAGAACTATTAAGACAAAATCAAAGAAAACTCAGATGAGTGTGTATACATAAACATGTACCTAAGTGTGACCAAAGTGTAAGTAGAAGTAGCAAGAAGTACCTGAAATCTTGCAAGTTCATGAGACAGAAAGAAGACACCAACAATCCTACCGTTATGTAAAACAAATACAGGCTTCTTTTTTACACTCACTTGGCAGGACGGTAGTACCTACCTGGGTGGTTGCTGTCTACCAACCTACTATCGATAAATTATTACATGCACAAAATGCACCAAACCCATACAGGTTATAAGGTACTGCACTGTACTTCAAAGCTGAGGGGAGTTACCAGCAAAGGGAAGTAAAAAATAAACTTATGAACTGACAAAGAAAGTCAAAGTTGATGTAACAAGTCAGTTTCAGTCGAAAGTTCAGTGTGAGAGTACTGAAGGTAGGACTTTCTGAAAGGAAAGCAGGCACAGTAAGGGCACTCAGGCACTGAAATAACAACAAAAGAGAAATGCTACGTGCTCATTGGTAAATAGTGGTCAATCAAAAGGTTTCTGATCATTGACAAGAACAGACAAGTTTCATAGAAAGGTGCATTACACATTAAGAAAAACTAGGGTTATTATAAAATTTTTACATTTGTGACAATGAAATTCAACTGTATTAGAAATTTCAACAAAAACTACAAAAAAAAAAACTACTGTAATGCTAACATTTTCTTCGTCAGTATTCGGAGGCCAACCCGTCCACTGTTGATATCGAACAGCAATGTTTGTTAGATCATGAATATCACTTTTAATCTCACGAATTTTCTTGCTGCCAGGAAATCTTAGGCTGTAGTCTTTGCTGTTTGTCTCGTCGTGGATCAGAAGAAGATATTCATCCCCATGAGCTCCATTAATTCTGGGGAAAATATGAAAATTAATATTGTATACTGCTATATAAATGTAACATTGCTTCTTGTAGGGAAAAAAAAAAAAGGAAATATCTCTCCATTCCAGCCTACTTGTTTAACATCTTGAGAACTGTGCTATAATGACCCACTCTCTCAGATGCAGAATTTTCTGTACAAGTCACCAAAAACCTGCACTCACAAGAGGAACCTTCTGATGATGTTTCATTCCAGTGTCAAGTTGTGACTCAACAATGGTAGAGGTCCAGGATGGAGCCAAACATTATTGCAACATTCTTCTCTTAACTCTTTGACTGTCGCAGGCCCCTTTCTGAAACTGTCATTCTATGTCGCAAAATAATCGAAAAAAAAAAATTATTTTTTTCTTATGAAAATGTTAAGATTATTTTTCTGAGTGTTTTAGTCAAAAAAAAAAAAATTTTTGCCATCAGTACTTACCGAGATATAGAGCTGTGAAGTTTGCAGAAAATGAGCTGTGTATGGCAACAGCGGCGACTGCCGCTCACCCGGTAAACTTTAGTTTACTTGTATTTGAAGGTTTTTTGTTTTTTTTTCACTATTTTATTTTTTCACATAACTTATGTGGCCTGTGAGACCAAAGTAAGGTGCAATGTACATATATACACTCGTTGTATACAACACAATAAGCACACAAACATAATTATCAATATATTGTTTACAAAACTTGTTTACAAAAACAAAATACAAAAAATTTTTTATTAATATTGTTCTATAATATATATTACAATATACAGTCACTGAACATATTCCTAGAAGTTCTGTAGCTTGTGGAACTCTCTGAAACATGGTGTCATACACAATGGTGTTTTACACTCCTCACACATAAAACCAGTGTGTGTGCATTTTTGTGGACTTTTTTTTTTTATGTGCAAAGACAAAACACTTCATCTGAGCAGTTTTCTTCAAAGTATTAGCAGGCAGTTGTGTTATGTAGTTTTTTTTTTTTTTTTTCAACAAGTCGGCAGTTTCCCACCGAGGCAGGGTGACCCAAAAAAGAAAGAAAATCCCCAAAAAGAAAATACTTTCATCATCATTCAACACTTTCACCACACTCACACATTATCACTGCTTTTGCAGAGGTGCTCAGAATACAACAGTTTAGAAGCATATACGTATAAAGATACACAACATATATATATAATATATATACACATATATATATAGTCACTAGATACTTTCATATAACTGCTATTATCTCCATTCATCAAGCTTGTCTTGTGTGCGAGTGTGTGGCTTATAATTATTTTGAATCAGGAGTCGGCAGCTGTCAAAATGACATATTGTCTCATTACTCACTCCCCCTACCACCTGTCAAAACAATGGGATGGGATGCTGCTTCCCCTCCATTCTATCTAATTATCTTTCTCCCTCATTCTATCTCTTTCAATGTCTCTCTCTTTCTCTCTGTCTGTCTATCTCTGTCTCTCAGGTACACAAATACAAGTATACATATTGTAAATTACCTAGGATAACCCAAAAAATCCAGACAAAGTGCCAAACTCAGCTTGAAGATGTGAGTAAAGGTGATGATGAACACAGTCTTGTGGCTCTCTCTGAGACAGAGCTAGACAGGATAGACAGGGAGCTTGGCAGACAGACAAATAGACAGACAGAAATGTTTGTGTACCAGCAAAACCAAAGCGAGGGGGATGGTCATCTAACCTTTCCTTATCAGCTGCCCCCTCCCTCCACCCTCATTTAAGTTCATCAAACGTCAGCTCTTATCAGATGTTATCTCCCCTTATCTTGTCACTGTCATGGGGCGAACTGTTTTCCATGCTTCAAGGCATCATCATCATCATCAATCATCTTCATCTTCTTCCTTCTTTCTCCTCCTCCTTCCTTCTTTCTCCTCCTTCCTCCTCCTCCTTCCTCCTCCTTCCTCCTCCTCCTCCTCCTCCTCCTTCCACCTCCTCCTTCCTCCCTCCCCCTTTCCTTCCTCCTCCTTCCTCCTCCTGCTCCTCCTCCTTCCTCCTCCTCCTCCTCCTCCTTCCTCCCCCCTCCTCCTCCTCCTCCTCCTCCTTCCTCCTCCTCCTCCTCCTTCCTCCTCCTCCTTCCTCCTCCTCCTTCCTCCTCCTCCTTCCTCCCCTCCTTCCTTCTTCTTCCTCCTCCTCCTCCATTCTTCTGGTATCCTGGGCATTGCTTTTGGTCTCAAACTCCTCAAAACCATGAAATTGATCTTCACTGATGTTTCCATCTGTGTTAGAGCATCACTTGGGAAGAGAAGAGTCCCAGATTTGCAGATGAGTCAGATATTTCTTACTGCTAGGCATGATGAACAAGGACTGCTGAAATGACATTCCCACAATGCACCACTGGCTCCCCGATTTTTTTTATATAGTGCACACTGACCATGGAGACCCATTCTCTCACATGTGGGCCTACCAGCTTTCTCCTGCTTGATTTGAAGCCGCTAGAATTTATGCGTATAGATACGTCAGAAACAGTGGCGCCTAAGACGTATTTATACGGCATAAACAGTCAAAGGGTTAAAAGAGAATGCACACATGCGTGTTGCAACCTTTCTCTCAACGTTCATACACACGTGCATATATGCACGCACGCACGTGCACACACACACACACACACACACAAACACACACACACAACACCCACACACACCACACACCCACACCCACACACACACACACACACACACCCACACACACACACACCCCCCCACACACACACACACCCACACACACACCCACACACACACCCACACACCACACCCACACACACACACACACACACACACACACACACACACACACACACACACACACCCACACACCCCACAACCCCACACACCCACACCCACACACCCCCACACACACACACCCACACACAACACCCAACACACACACCCACACACACACACCCACACACACACACCCACACACACACACACCCACACACACACACCCACACACACATACCCACACACACACCCACACACACCACACCCCACACACACACACCCCACACACACACACCCACACCCACACACACCCACACCCACCCACACACACACCACACCCCCCACACCCACACCACCACACCCACACACCCACACCCACACACCCACCCACCCACACCCACCCTTTACTTAAGCTTTTACTCATCATCATTGTGTGATATTTTCCTTTCCTTCTTACCAATATAATGTACTATTTTTGTAATCACCAATTCCAGATATTCAGGTTTATTCTTATCTTGTAAATTTTCTCCATTAAAATTAAAACTCTACAATAAAGTAATTCAAACACACATGCAGTTCTATGTTTTAGCACATATTAACTATATCTACCAGTTCATGTCCTCACTTAGTCTCACTATTAAATCAATATTTGAATCCAGTTAGCAGGGCTTGAGTCCTAGAGGTGGGAAGTACAGAGCTTGCACTCTGAAGGAGTGGGGTGGGGATGCTACAGTTTGGAGAGTTACCCAAGCACTATTGTCAATGTGCTTCTGGCAAACCAGTGATTGAAGGAGTCACAGTAAAGGTGCTTTCTTTGTTGGGTTACTGCCTCAGTGAGAGACAGCCAGAGTGCTAATTTTTTTTTTTAATTCAGCCAAGAACCATTATCAGCAAATAACAGTGTAAAATCTTTCACTGTTCTAACATGGGCAATTAATACATTAGAAATTCAATAAAACAGCACAAGTATACAGGAGGGCCCTGTTTTACGGCAATTCACTAATACGGATATTTCAGTTTTTTTTTTTTAACACATCGGTCGTTTCCCACTGAGGCAGGGCGACCCAATATGAAAGAAAACCCAAAAAAGAAAGAAAAATACTTTCATCATCATTCAACACTTTCACCATCACTCACATATAATCACTGTCTTTGCAGAGACGCTCAGATACAACAGATTAGAAGTCCCTCCAAACTGCCAATATCCCAAACTGAACCTTTAAAGTGCAGGCGCTGTACTTCCCATTTCCAGGACTCAAGCCTAGCTAACCAAAAATTTTTTTGTACAGCTCCATGATTCACTGTTACAGCGTCCATGCACCAATCTGTTTGTTTACGTCCTCCGTGAGCTCTTAGGAGTGCTGAGGAGTTTCACACTCCAGCACTTCTAGAAACATTGCTGGGACCTATAAATAATTTGTATAATTTCTAGGCAATAGTATGTGACCAAGACAGGTGAAAATATTTACCTGTCAGTGTGTTTGTGACAATCTGATTACTTTTCAGTACTTAATATTAGTGCCAGAACAAAAATTTGCTATAAAATCACAAGAACTACTATAAATTCTAATTACCAGAACATAAAAATTATGTAAAATAAAAAAAAAAAAAAAAGGAAAAAACGTATAACAGCAACATATCTGCAAGTGGCAGGACTCCATGTTGCCAACAGGTGAGCATCCAATGCCAACTTCACCACCTCATATCTAGATAAGTACTGGAGCTAAAACTTCTTTTTTGGTCTTATTATACACAAAATTGCCCTCTTCTAAACTTTTTTTTTTTTTTCAAAATATTCAGAGCACTAGCAGTGGAAATGTAGATTAACATTTGCATAGTTAAGGGGTTAAATGTTGTATATTACGTGTAGGTGTGGTAGCTCGGCAAGCTACCATACCTACCACACTTGACTTCCTAAAACATATACTATTCACATCACACCCTACTGAAGACTACAAATATTTTGTGTAATGAGTGTACTGTATACCTATTTTACTTTTTATTATTTTTTAATGACTAGTTCTATTGCTAACTTTATATATAATAGTGTAAACATGTTATGAAGCATTTAAATGCTTTATGGTAGTAGCCTGGAACCTAATCCGCCATACAAGTGGTGCCCTCCTGTATTCAGTAAAGTGGGATACGTGTACATAAGAAAGAAGGAACACTGCAACAGGCCTACTGACCCATGCGGAGCAGGTCCATGTCTCCCCCCCCCCCCCCCAGATTAGCCCAATGACCCACCCAGTCTGATCATCTCCACTCAAGGATGGAGCACTGCACCAGACCCAGCAGCACAAGCTGTCAGGTCCAACGCACACCCACCCACACCCACTCATGTATTTATCTAACCTATTTTTAAAACTACACATTTTAGCCTGAATAACTGTACTCGGGAGTTTGTTCCACTCATCCACAACTCTATTACCAAACCAGTGTTTTCCTTTCTGATTCTGTACTTTTCCAACTTGAAACCATTGCTGCAAGTCCTGTCTTGGCTGGAAATTTTCAGCACGCTATTTACATCCCCTTTATTTATTCCTGTTTTCCATTTATACACCTCGATCATATCCCCCTTAATTTTACGCCTTTCAAGAGAGTGCAGATTCAGGGCCCTCAGTCTATCCTCATAGGGAAGATTTCTGATACATGGGATCATCTTTGTCATCCTCCTCTGTACGTTTTCCAGAGCATTTACATCCATTCTGTAATACGGTGACCAGAACTGAGCAACATAGTCTAAATGAAGCCCAACCAAGGATATATAGAGTTGAAGAACAACCTGAGGACTTCTATTATTTATACTTCTAGATATGAAGCCAAGGATTCTGTTAGCTTTATTGTGAACACTAATGTACTGTTGTCTTGGTTTTAAATTACTGCTAACCAGAACTCCTAAATCCTTTTTGCAATCAGTAGTAATAAGATCTACATTATTTAGTTTATATGTGGCATGGTTATTTACCTGTCCAACATTTAGAACTTTGCATTTGTCAATATTAAACTGCATCTGCCACTTCTCCGACCATTGCATCAGTCTATTCAAATCATCCAGGAGTGCTCTAGTGTCCACATTAGAATGAATTGGACGGCCTATTTTGGTGTCATCAGCAAATTTGCTTATGTCGCTATTTATTCCCACATCTATGTCGTTTATGTAAATTGTGAACAACAACGGGCCCAACACTGACCCAATTAAAGAGAAAATTTAAAATGATGCAAAGTAATTCTGTATTTAAACTGGGTTTCAAAAAGTTTAAGATCTTACCTCTCATAGTAGTTATTAAAAGTGAGTGAAGACTGAGCATTAAGTGTAAGTGTACGGGATTCTGGTAAAAGCGCTGCACTGATCACCGTACTATCTTCTACTGGGTTTTTAAAGCCTTCTAAAATCTGCAATACAAAAATTAAATAGATAATAAGAGGTCACCATGCTTCTGCAAAGACAATAAATGATGGTGAATTACAGAGCAAATCACTGACTTGTGTAGCACTGTGAACCTCAATATAGTGATAGGCTGTATAGGATTAAGAATCAAGGCATATGTCAACAATCTAATAACAATCATAGTAATCAAATATACAGTGAGTAATGGCAGTACCATTAACACTGGCACACTATGTATGTACTTTAGAGAAATTAGTTAAGTTTTCAGAGCCTAAAAACTTGTGGACATAACCCAAATTGAAAATTAAGGAGGCAGCAGAGCAATGGCAAAAACTAGTTTAGTCTTTGAAAGGATGATAAAAAGGTAATTTACCAGTTTTACAGAAAAGCATAAACTTCACAATAGTGAATATGACTTTAAAACAAAATGATGATGCCTCTTGCGACAACTAAATTACAATTACCGCACATAGGCACTGCAAGAAAATATAAATGCTAATGTATGTATAAATTTTGCAAAGGCATTTGACAAATATGACTCTGGAATAAAAGCCTATAAAGTGAGATATAATAAAGATACATGAATATATAAATTCCTAACAGATCACATAGTAGTAAAGGAAAAAATCCATTTTAAGCAAAGTTAAAAGTCCAGTGCTACAATGCACAATCTTCCACCTTTACCATGTATTACTCTCATGACACAGGAGAAAAAAAAAAATCATATTTTTTACAGACACCCATACAAAGATTAATAAGTTGCTTTGTTGAAGACATTCAGAAATAAAAAATAAATCCAATGATCACAGGAAAACACATGTTCAACAATGATAAATAAACAATGAATTCAGACATTTACAAGTTAAAAAATGTTCTCAGATCGTGTTATAAAGTGACATGAACAGGTAATGGACTAAAGAATAATTGTGTTAACCAATATATTGTCTATAAACCACATTAAAACAAATATTAACCTAGGTTAGGAAAATGAAAGGGTGAATTATGAGAACTTTATAAAACAAGATATGCTATGTCAAAGATGGTACAGGTCAGTCATCACTAATCCAGCAATCAGTAATCCGGTTCCACCAGTAATTCGGAACTAATTTCGGCTAGCAAAATTTTGAATTTCCAGGGGTCACCACACCAACCTGCTGCTACTGTTTGGTGGTGCTACTTGCTGCATGAGTCATTCCAATTTCTTTTTTCCCTTTATTGTTATAACCTGCTCACTTTTAGCCCTAGCCACGGTTCCAACAAATAAAATAAATGCTTCTCTTTGTGTAAAGCACACATATATATACATTCCATAAAAGGTAAGGTTGCTTTGTCGCCACTGTCGGTCTCCATGAGCTCAGCTCACTTAGATAAGCTGTAACCAGTAAATTTGGGCCTACATACAAGAGAACAGGTCTGTGTGGTATATGTGCACTATATAAAAAAAAAAAATCCTGCAGCACACAGTGCATAATGAGGAAAAAATGCGACAGTGTTAATGGTGTAAAACAGCAACTTTGTGTATTTTTGTATGGTTTTTATGGTTGTATTCTCATTTTTTTGGTCTCATTTAATAGAATGGAAGATATATTACAGAAATAGATATGATTTTCACTGGTTTCATGAGAGAAAGCACCTTGAAAATGAGCTCACACTAACGGAAATATTTGATTTTCACTAATGTTCATGAGTAAACAAATGACGTCATCATCCAATATGCGTCCAACTGGCTGGTCTAATACAGTCACGAATGGCCTGACATTATGCAATTAAAATAATACAGTAGTCTACATAACAGTAAATCTATTTTTTTTTTTGTGAATAAAAATTCAAAATGGAAAGCAAGCATAATAGTATAAGAGGGGCCTGTAGACGTGACTGAAGAACAGAGAAAATGTTATTTTAGTGCCAGGAATGTTTGCATTGTTTATTCTGGGGCCTATTTTGGAATTGGCATCTCTTGAAATTTGTGTGAAATTAGCCAAATTATTTATTTCTGACCACTTTATTGGGTAGTTGAAATAGGTAAATGGGTGGTTTATTGTACTCAGTCAACAGAATAGAAGGAATACGTAAAATAGCTATGAGTTTGGTAGACTGGAACAATGAAATGAGCCAAAAATAGGGCATAAAGTGGGTGAAGTTGCTGATGCATAAATATCACCGTCGGGTTAAGTGTATCCTAACTGAACCGCTCTGTAATCTGGCAAAATCACTAATCCGGCACCCGACAGGTCCCAGTGGTGCCGGATTAGTGATGGTCAACCTACTCTCATCCTTGCACCTAGAATATTACTGTGTTAACCATTTCAGGGTCCATGCCATAGATCTACGGCTATACGTTGAGGGTCCAAACCGAAGATCTATGCCAAAATTCTAGAGGCATCAAATTTAGCGCAAGAAGGCTGGTAGGCCTACATCTGAGAGAACGGGTCTGCGTGGTGTGTGTGCGCTGTAAACAAAAATTCTAGGCGCCCGCATGGCATTGTGGGAACGCCGCCTCAGTAACCTTTGTTCACCATGGCTCACTGGCAGGCAGCTCTCACTCTGAGGCGAACTGGGACTCGCCTCTTCGTAAATGATAGTTCTGACTCTGATGGAAGTGGACACGAAGAATTCTATGGCTTTGATCAATTAGTGACTGAAAGCAATGACCAGGATATCGAAAATAGTGCAGAAAATCCTGACGATCCTCAACCTTCTACCTGTGGTGTGGGCACGTCTCAGTCACGTTCAGTTGTACTTCGTTGCAAGAGAAAACTAATATTTTCACGTGGCCAGGCTTCAAACTTCAGTAATGATGATGATTGTGATGTGGACTGTGATTTTATTGCTCTTGATGATCATTCGAGTAGTGACGATGATGAATCATATTCACCAGAGAAGCGTCAGTATATACACTGCTGCATGCGCTCGGGTAGTGTTCCCTATGCAGTGCCCAGGGGACGGAGTACATCCCAGAGTACATCCTGTGGCCCTACACCAGGAATAGACAGCGAAAGTGAGGATGATGTGGCTACACTTGGCTTGGATAGACCACAGGCATCAGTAGGTGGTGGTATTGGTGGTGATAGTGCCATGGCCACGCATGACTCACCAGCCCAGGCTGGGACCCACGCCGCTGACTCCTCAGCTCAAGGACAAAGCAGAGCATCAGCCACCACCCCACCACAACTACAACTACAACCACAACCAGCTTATGATGTCAAGTATCCACCAGCAAACCGCATCTGGGATTGGCAGCAAAATCCCAATTTTGTTCCCAGGCCCCACCAGTTTGATGACTCTCAAAGTGGAATCCTACCAGCTTGTTCCCTTGGAAACACTGCAAACAAACTGGAATTCTTTGAACTATTCTTTGACCAGCCCTTGATGGAAACTATTGTCAGGGAAAGTAACAAGTATTATGAGTACACTATGGCAAATATGATCATATCACCACAGTCAAGACTACACCGGTGGAAAGAGACAACTGTGGCTGAAATGAATTTGCTTTTTGCAACAATAATGCTTATGCCTCATATCTATAAGCATAATATAAAATCACACTGGTCCACACATTGCCTAATTTGCATCCCGGCCTTCAGTAAAATCATCCCAGTGAACAGGCTTATCTTACTGTTACGTATGTTGCACTTCTCTGACAAAACCAGGCCTGACAGAAGTGAGAGGTTATACAAGATTAGAAATGTTTTTATGTATCTGAAACAAAAGTTCAACATGTACTTTTATCCATTCAAGAATCTTATAATTGACGAGTCCTTGATTTTGTTCAAAGGTAGACTGTCATTCAAGCAGTATATACCGAGCAAGAGGAAACGCTATGGTATAAAACTGTTTGTACTCTGTGACTGTGACAGTGGCCTTGTATTGCATATTATTGTATACACAGGAAGTAAAACACTGAAAGATACTAGGATGTTATTGGGTATCTCAGGTGACGTAGTGAGAAGCATGATGGCACCTTATCTTGGTAAGGGGCATACATTCTATACTGATAACTAGTACACAAGCCCTTTACTCAGTGATTTCTTGCAAGTGAACATGACAGATGTGAAAACCAGTGGCAGTGATTGATTGCACACAAAACATGTGTTTGGTTGACAAATGTGACATGCAGATTGGCTTTGTTGATTGTGTTCGTATGAGTTACAAGTGGTACATGAAACTCTTCTTCCATCTCATGGACATTTCAATGCTCAATGCATATACAGGTACCATCTGACTTACGACCAAGCTTGGTTCCGACCAACCGGTCGTAAGTCAAAATGGACGTAAGACGAACCTTTGAAAATTGCCGACATATTGGGTAGGGCATAATGTCAAACCTTTCCTATATAAACTACCTACATAATACTGTAATGTAATGTACAATCATTATTTCATTCATTTTACTATAATTTACTTCTATTGTTATATTTTAATTATTTATGTACTGTATATAATGTATACATGGTAGTGATCTGTATTGTAAATTTTACATTGCATACAGTATCATATGTTACTGTTATCTTTATGTATTGGCGACACAGTGGAATGGGAGAATACCACTAGTAGTGTCATCCTGCCAGAATGTAGTATAACCTATACCCTAAGTAAAGAGAAACAACTCTGCAACATGTGTAATACGTATCCGGCTGGGTGGCTGGGTGGCTGGCTGGGTGGCCAGGTAGGTGGGTGGCCAAGTGGGTGGGTGGTTGGCTGACTGGCTGACCGAATGTGGCCGTCTCTCTCTCTCTGTATCACTCTCTCTGTATCTCTCTCTCTCTGTCTCTCTCTATCTCTCTCTGTCTATCTCTCTGTCTCTCTCTCTGTCTCTCTCTGTATCTCTCTCTCTGTATCTCTCTCTCTGTATCTCTCTCTCTGTATCTCTCTCTCTGTATCTCTCTCTCTGTATCTCTCTCTCTGTATCTCTCTCTCTGTATCTCTCTCTCTGTATCTCTCTCTGTATCTCTCTCTCTCTCTCTGTCTCTATCTCTCTCTCTGTATCTTTCTCTCTCTCTCTGTA